GTTTCCCTCAGAGAGCCTTCCAGGTTATAGGAAAAAAGTCAAGAAAACACAATGTGGAAATGATAGCAACTGAGAGAGATCATTAAGGCCTTAGAGGTGACAAACCTGAGATACTAAGACACATTAAGTAACTTATTCAACTATCACAGGACTAACACTGACTATACTATAAAAAGACATGGATACTTTCCTTAAATAGTTAATGTTGTTGCTGTTAGATGGCATTGAGTTAGCTCTGACTCACAGCAACCCTACGTAGAACAGGACGAAACACTGCTGGGTCGTATGCATCCTCAATCCTTGCTATACTTGAATCCACTGTTGCAGCCACTGTGTCAATCCATCTCACTGAAGTGCTTCCCCTTTTTTGCTGACCCTCCAATTTACCAAGCATGATATCCTTCTCCAGGGAATGGGCCCTTCTGAAAACTTGACCAAAGTAGGTGTGATGAAGTCTAGCCATTCTCACTTCCAAGGAGCATTCCAGCTGCACTTCTTCCAGGACAGATTTGTTCACTCTTCTGGCAGAAGAATACTTTTAGTATTCTTCACCAACACCACAACTCAAAAGCATCACCATGGTTTAGGTTAGCTGCACCTTAGTCTTCAAAGAGACATCTTTGCTCTTCAACACTTTGATCTTTAGCAGCAGATCTGCCCAGTGCAATACCATGTCTGATGTCTTGACTATTGCCTCCACGGGTGTTGTTTATGGATCCACATAATATGAAATCTTTGACAACTTCTCCATTTATTGTGATGCAGCTTATTAGTCCAGTTGTGAGGATTTTCATTTTCTTTATGTTGAGGTGTAATCCATACTGCACTGTAGTTTTCAATATTCACCAGTAAGTGCCTCAAGTCATCTTCACTTTCAGCAAGTAAGACTGTGTTGTCTGCATATTACAGGTTGTTAATGAGTCTTCCTTCAATCCTGATGCCATGTTCTTCTTCATATAGTCCAACTTCTCAGATTATTTGCTCAGCATACAAACTAAATAAGTATGGTGAAAGGACACAACCCTGATTTTAAACCATGCAGTATCCCCTTGTTCTATCTGAATGACAGCCTCCTGGTCTACGTATAGGTTCCTCATGAGAACAATTAAGTGTTCTGGAATTCCCATTCTTCTCACTGTTATCCATAATTTGTTATGATTCACCCAGTCTAATGCTTTGCATAGTCAACAAAGAAATATCTTTCTGGCATTTTTTGCTCTCAGTCAAGATCTATCTGACATCAGCAATGATATCCCTTGTTCCACATGCTCTTCTGAATCCAGCTTGCATTTCTGGCAGTATATTCCTAGTCAATATATTGCTACAACTTTTTGAATTATCATCAGCAAAATTTTACTTGCATGTGATATGAATGATATCGTTTGATAATTTCCACAATCTGTTGAATCACCTTTTTTTGGAAAGGGTACAAATATGGAACTCTTCCAGTTAGTTGTCCAGGTAGCTGTCTTCCAAATTCCTTGACATAGATAAGTGCTTCCAGTGTGACATCTGTTTGTTGAAAGATCTCAATAGGTATTCCGTCAATTCCTGGAGCCTTGTTTTTAACCAATTCCTTCAGTGCAGCTTTGATTTCTTCTTTCAATACCATTGGTTCTTGATCATATGCTACTTCCTGAAATAGCTGAACAATGATCAATTCTTTTTGCTACAGGACTCTGTGTATTCCTTCCATCTTCTTTTGATGTTTCCTGCATCATTTGATATTTTGCCCATAGAATCTTTCAGTATTGCAATTGGAGGCTTGAGTTTTTTCTTCAGTTTTTTCAGCTTGAGAAATGCTGACCATGTTCTTCGCTTTTGGTTTTCTAACCCCAGTTGCACATTTCATTATAATAACTGACTGTGTCTTCTCGAGCTGCTCTTTGAAATCTTCTGTTCAGCTCTTTTATCTTGTCATTTCTTCCATTTGCTTTAGCTACTCTCTGTTCAAGAGCAAGTTTCAGAGTCTTTTTTGACATCCATTTTGGTCTTTTCTTCCTTTCCTGTCTTTTTAATGACTGTTTGCTTTCTTCATGGATGATGCTCTTGATGCTATCCCCTCATTCATCTGGTTTTCAGTCACTGGTATTCAATGCATCAAATCTATTCTTTAAATGGTCTCCAAATTCAGGTGGGATATAATCAAGGTCATATTTTGGTTCTCGTGGACTTGTTTTAATTGTCTTCAGCTTCAACTTGAAATTGCATATGAGCAGTTGATGGTCTATTCCACAGTCTTGTTTTGGCTGAAGATATTGAGCTTCTCCATCGTCTCTTTCCCCATTGCCTCTTTCCACAGATGCAGTTGATCTGATTCCCATATACTTCACCTGGCAAGGTCCACATGTACAGGTGTCATTTATGTTGTTGAAAAAAGGTATTTGCAATGAGTAAGTCATAGTCTTGCAAAAGTCTATCATGCAATCTCTGCTGTCATTTCTACCACCAAGGCCATATTTTCCAATTACCGGTGATTCTTCTTTGTTTCTAACTTTTGCATTCCAATCACCTGTATTAATCAATACATCTTGATTGCATGTTTGGTCAATTTCAGACTGCACAATGTGAAACCTATCCATCATGGGTGACCCTGCTGGTATATGAAATACTGGTGGCATAGCCTCCAGCCTCACAGCAACATACACACCACCACAGTACAACAAATGACAGACAAGTGGTGGTAAATAGTTATAGTCATTATAAACTGTGTTCAGGTACACTGCACACTTGTATATACTGCAACAAGTACACTGTATTTTGTTTCCAAAAGAACTAAAAAATACATCTACCTTATGGTACTGAATCTCAGCATCATCAATGAGTTTGTTCTGGTGTAAAAAATTATATTTATATTCTTATTCATAGAATGGGAAAGTTTCAGTTTTTAGAGTCTAAAACCTTGTTCTAACACTCAGTCATGTATCAAAGGCAACTGTTAGTTACTGTTTCCTCATCAGTAAAATATCACCATACCAAAGTGAAAATGATAGGCCCACTACACAGATAAGACACACAAAGAACAAAAAAATGGTTTACAAGGGGACCAGGTTTGCCGTTCTGATACAGCCTGGTGGAACCACTGAGACTATGGTCCCTAGCTGCCCTTCAGGTCTGGAATTGAACCCACACCTGTGGCTTCCAGCCAAACAAAAGATAAGCATATGAGTTGAACATTTATATTAGGTAGATACACTCCTTGGAGAGAACAATCATGGGAGAAAGAAGGGCTGTTTATGCACAGGGAGACAGCTCAGGGGGCAGGAGTGCATGGAGGGATGGACACAGGGAAGAGGTAACAATCGGGAGGAAGTGGGAGGAGAATTGTTGCATTGGGGTGAACTGTAGTCAATGTCCTGAGACAAAGTGTATGTGAACTGTTGTATGGAAAGTGAATTTGCTCTATAAACTTTCACCCAAATCACAATTGAAAAAGAAAAAAAAAAGCACCTTAGATAACCATACATCACAATGCCTGGTCTGCAGTTGTAAGGATTTTGCTGATCTTCATTATGAGTTAACAAACATATAAAATCCTAGAATCTTCAAGCCAGTACTGACATAGGAAAAACTTAATAAAATATCTGTAATTGTAATGAGTCTCAGAGTTTGAAAGTCCAATGAGATTGCTAGGTTCAGCCAGCCAGCGTCTTGTTTGTAAATTCATCATGCTCTTTTGGAGTAATTTTTTGAGCCATTTTACATTGGGTGGAAGGGATCTAAATGACTACAGAAATGAGACTATGGGGTTATAGAGCTGTGCTGGATGTGTAATCCATCACCTAGGAATATCTATGTATACACTCTTGGCCTTCTTCTCCACTTACCTTTATTCAAGGCTTTCCTGACCATACACTGTATAGATGATGTTTAAAAATGCTCTCCACACCTAGTATATTGTACAAACGTTTTTTAAAAGAATTAAAGATGTTTTTGGACTACAGCAATGCACTGAATTAAATGTATACATACAGAATGTATATATATAAAAAATATGAACTTGGTTTACAATGTTGTTTAACACTTATCATTATTAAATATGTTCTATGTTAGAACATCAAGTAGGTTGAGTAAGTCCCGACTCATAGAGACCCCTCCTTTGGTTTCCTAGGCAGTATCACTATGGAAGTAGATTGCCCAACCTTCCTTCTGAGGACTGGCTGGTGGGTCTGAACCACCAGCCTTCTGGTCAGCAGACAAGTGCCTTAGCCACTATGCTACCAGAGCGCCTAATATGTTCTATAGAAAAACAAAATGGTTTATAGTGGGTAGATGCATAATATAGATTTGTTCCTAATTTTTATTAAAAACAAATGTCCTGCTTGATCTTCCCTCTTCTCTCCAAATTGTCAACACAAAGTAATATTATAAAGTCATAAATTAAAGGTATTGGGAAAACAATTTTTGTAGTTAGTTGTGATACCTAGTTTCTATTTTCTATCCTACCATTAAAAAAGCTTCAAAGCCATGGGCAAATCATTCAATCCCTCTAAGTTTTTCCTCCCTTTAGTAAAGGAATAAAACTGAATCAACCAACATGATTCAAATAATCCCATCTATGACACAGGAGCTGTGGTAGCGTAGTGCCTAAGGCACTTGACTGCTAACCAGAAGACTGGCGGCTCAAACCCATCAACCACTCCTCGGAAGGAAGGTTGGGCAATCTACTTCCATAGTGATACTGCCTCAGAAACCCAAGGAGGGGTCACTATGAGTTGGGTCTGAGTCAATGGCACACAACCACAACAACAACATGATTCATCACATACGGGGTCACCATGAGTTAATATCAACTCACTATGTTTTATGACTCGATATATAATTATAAATGCCTCACTAATTTCTGAGGTCTGAATAATACAAAGGCAATGTAAATTCGAAAACTTTAAACATTTTTAAATTAATATAAAATATAATTTACATCTTTAAGCCTTCTTCATTTGGGATATTATAACTGGTCATTTTGTATATTTAAAAGAAAATTTCTTAAAACTACTCACATCTGGTTGAATGGCTTTAAATACTGGAACATCCATTAATGTTATCTGACCCTGAAACACAAAATAAAAATTGACATTATCATCTTTAGAATTCCATGATATAACCTGCATTCCACAATAAAATTATATTCTATACCGAAATTAATACAGAAATCTTCACTAGAATAAAAACTGTCAACTTATTAGTACTGTAAGAGGCTAATCAGAAAATGAAAGTTATATTTAACAGTACAAGGGCTAAATTAATTCTAATTATCTCATGCCTGTTTGTATTTTTTGGGAGTTAAATGAGGTAAAGTTAGAAAATAAAACAAAAATAATTTTAAAAATTTAGACATGGTCCAACAGTAAATAAAAATCAAAACCAAAAATCAGATCTACTGGTTCACAAAACAGTGTTCTTGTTATACCTATTAAATATCTCCTCAAACTTATAAAATCTGGTTGTGATAAAAAGAGGTTTTCTACCTAATTTATAAAGGTGCTCTGGGAGCATAGTGGCTAAAGCACTTGACTGCTAACCAGAAGGCTGGCGGTTCAAACCCACCAGCCACTTCTTGGAAGGAAGGTTGGGCAATCCTACTTCCGTAGTGATACTGCCTCGGAAATCCAAGGACAGGTCGCTATGAGTGGGGGCCGACTCGACGGCACATAACAACAACAACAACAACAACCTAATTTATAAAAAGTAATCAGACTACAATAGTAGTAACAGATTTTATCAAAGGACTTTTACATGGCTATGGACCTATCTCATTTATGGTTATACATGCAAAATAAAAATCCAACATTATAGTTTTATTCCTGAAATGGAAGAGTAATTAAATATCAGAACATCAATAGATTCCATTAACAAATCAAAGGAAAAAGAGAACAACAAATAATGTAAATAATGTTAATGTCAGTTTTTTGGTACCTTTTATGATACTGCAGTAACACTTTCATATTTCATTTTTCAATTTCTTAAACTGAAAGTAAATATACCTCTTTAGAAATGGCAAGAAAGTAGAGTTGGCCTGGGGAAGTAATACAGGTAGGGATTAAAGTAATTACCATAAAAGTAAATACTTACTACTTGCCAAGTTTGAAGTATAATTCATGAAGCTAAAACTATCTACATTCTTCTCACATCCCACCTTATCCCTGTTCCTCAGTGCTTTCTCCATCACTGTGCTTTTCTTCCCATCAATTCCCACACTCAGGTTTTTTTGTTTTTTTTTTAATGTTTTACAATATCCTCCACTGGGCCTACAAATGCTAAGTCAACAGCACCAATATGTAAATTATGGGCAAAAACTGGAGAAGGAAAAGGTGGGAAGCTTACCGCATACTCTTCTGGTGTAACTTTAAGAACATCGAATACCACAGCATCAAAGCTTTTCTTCAATTCAGAACCTTTGTCACTTAATGATTCAGAGCTGCTACTTTTCTGTCAAGTTTAAAGAAAATATAGATATTTTAACAGTCTCATAGTCAATGTGATAGAAATTTGGCACTAAACATTGCAGAAAACAAAGAAGAGTGGGTCATAATTTTAAACAAACACTGCAGAACATGCTGCTTAGTTGGAAGAGTGTTAGATAAACAGTCCACTTGAAATCTAACCTCAGCTTTAGATTTTTAGTTCTACAGTGAGTCATATTTGTGTGTCAGTTTCCTCATCCTGACATCCTATCATTTTCTGCAGAAATAAAAGATTTAAGCAAGTTCAAGGATTCTCAAATGGAATAAAGGAAAGCCAAAGGAAAAGGGCTTACATTTATTTATAATTTTAAACTAATATTTATTTTTAGAAAAGATAAAATCATTTTAATAACATAAACCACAATAAAATATTTAGACCAATTACACTAATTAAAGAGCTATATAATCCATTCCTTTTTGTTAAATGATGTCTGTTAATGAAATTACAGTTGATACTGCTCTTTCTATTGTATTACAAACCTAAGCATTTTGTGATTAAGAGTACTTACCATTATGTTTGAATTTTCTGTTACTACATATAGAACCAAAAAGGTGGCTATGGGCCCCGAAAATCTTAATTTATGCTAAATTTTCCACTTCTTCTGTACCATGAAATAAAAATGTACTCTGTAGCACATTTGGCTGAATTTTGAGGAACACTCATGTAAAATCATTTAGACTAAACCAAATCCACTGCCAAATCCAAGTCAATTCCAATGCACAGCAACCCTACAGGACAGAGTAGAATTGCCCCACAGAGTTTCCAAGGCTGCAAATCTTTACAGAAACAGACTGCCTCATCTTTCTCTAGCAGGGCAGCTAGTGAGTGGGCCTGAACTGCCAACCTTCTGATTAGCAGCCCAATTCTTTAACCACAGTGCCACTAGAATTCTTTTCTCATTTAGACTAGGATCTACCAAATGGAAATAGGAACTAGGCCACAGTTATAGGCACAAAAAGTAATCAAAATTTCATCACAAAAAGTAATCAAAATTTTTGATTACAAAAAGTAATCAAAAAGTAAACAAAAATTCCAATTACCAAGGTAAAGGTCAATGAGCTGTTACACATCAACTCTAAGCAACTGTCATTATGCCTCATTTAAAATTTTTCTCTCCTTTTCAGTAGTAGCAAAATATCAAGTATAGATTCATAATTATAACAAAAGGAGGGATCCAACTCAGAGTATCTTTAACCATTCATGGCACTGACTCTTTCTATTTGAACCCCCCCACACACACAAAATTAGGAATACAGGCAACAGGAAAAGCCTCATCTTTTAAGTCTGCCCAAGACCTCAGATGTCAGCCACAAGTATGAGAGTTCCCACAATACTCTCACTTCTGTCCTGCTGGACCCCACTATTCCCTCACGTTTGATAACTTGCTAGAATGATTCACAAAACTCAGGAAAGTGCTATACTTACAGTTTTATTACAAAAATAAATTAATAAATAAAAGGACAACTCAGGACCAGTATAAAAAAGAGAAGCATAGGGTGAGGTCTAGGAGACCCCCAATGTTGAACTTCTGTGTTCCAAAAAGGGTGCTTCACCCTCCCAAATACAAATGTCTTTTGTCAACCACTGCCATGTCCACAGTCTTTATTGGAGCCTCATCATGTGGTCATAACTGATTGAATGAATCTATCTATCTGCTTCCCCACTCCTCTACCTGGGTCTTTGTGACCTGGCCAGCTCCCACCTGAGTCAACTCACTGGCATAAACCTTCAGGTATGGTCTTCAGACCTCAGCAAGGACACTTCAGTCACTGGGAAAATTCCTAGGTTTTAGATGTTAGCTCTCACCAACCAAGGACAAAGACCAAATTCTTTTGCTAAAGTTAAATTCTTTCCCGCATACCATCATTCACTTTTCAGTCCCCAGCCCTACTAAGGTCATAAAAAAACTGTCCACCTAAAATAACATTAATCCAGATATATCAAAGATCTGAAAGAAGGGAGAACAAGGCTATATAAACTATAAACAGATTTGCCGCTCTGTCAGCACTGCATATAGAGGAAAATGGGTCTCAAAAGCTGCAAAATATAGGCCACAAACCCATCAGTTTAAGAAGCAGAGAATATATCATCCACAAGACAACAACAAATCAAGTGATTTTATAGATCACTGCCCTTTAAAATTAAGAATTCTCAAAAATATTAATTTAAATGAATGGTTTTCTCTAATGAAAAGACTTATTGTAATTAGATTAAAATTTTGATCCCTTGGTGATATACTACATTAAGAGCAAATGAATTCAAGATAAAACATTAATATTTCTGATTTATAATGAGAAAATTAAGTCAGGTCTGAAACTCTCTAATATTAACCACATAGAGACAAAATCATCTGTGTATCAGATTTAAAAATAATTGCTTAGAGTCAAGAGATCCAGATGGTGCCAAAAATTCAGTGAAAAACAATCTTTCTGTGCCTCATTTGTCCTATTGCCCTTAAGGTTCATGTAAGGTAAAAATATTCTAAAAAGAAACCCAAATGATCCTTTAAAAATAAACATAAGAGAAGGTTTTAAATAATAATTACTTTCTCAAATATCTTCTCAAGTAATACGGATGTAATAGTGTAATGGCTTTTAAATGTAGTCTTCTCTGTGAAAGACTACATTCTAAATCAATCAGTTGAAAATGTTTAACACCAGAATGCCCACTGGAGCTGACTGAACTATACAAAAAGAGGTAACTACTCATCCACTAAATTATTTTGTTTGCCAAGGATAACGATTAAGGTTTCCAAAACGCACAGTAAACACATGAATGACAAAATTAAAGAATTTTTTAAACTCTAAAATATTTGTAGCCCTTTATTTAAAGTTCTTATTTAAGTCTGCAATCAACCATACTCCTTGATAAATTAGAAAGTGAGTTAAGAGAGTTTATAATTAAACGTCTTAAAAGTCTTACCTCAGAAGCAGTAGCTGCAACATTCACATTGCTTGCCTGTCCATTCATTACGTCCATGCTTCCTACAACATCAGTCCCTGACCTTATGTTAACAGCAACAAGGGACCAATTACTTCACGTCCAAGGCCACAAATACATTATTATCCCTGTCAAAAGTAAAGAGAAAAATTAAAACATGTGTCTCATTGGAAATTTAAGGAAATAAATCCACACCTACCATCATGCCACGGTGTAAAACTTTGCCAAGCTCTATTTTTTAATTATACCATTAAATTCAGATTGAAGACAATCATGTATATATTTTCAAATTACAGTAATACTAAACGGGCAGTATTCAATAAAAAACTCAAAAACCAAACTCTGCCATCAAGTCAATTCTGATTCATAGCAACCCTCACTGGGTTTCCAAGACTGTAAATCTTTACAGAAGCAGACTGCCTCATCTTTCTTCTGCAGGGTGGCTGATGGGTTCAAACTACCAACAGCTTGGTTAGCAGCCAAATGCCTTAACCACTATACCACCAGAGCTCCTTATTCAATAAATGTTAGTTATTTTCTTCATCAGCAAAGCAAAAGCATAACTTCTCACTTATTAAATAAATATTGAGGACGGTTGTATTTTTTTCAGTTTTAAGTAAAAAAAAAAAAGAGTAACATGTAAATGACACATGGCAAAATAACACATGCTATATACAGTAATTTTTTAGAAATCCCATTTACCAAGATATCACATATATTTGAAAACAAAAAGAAAATACTATGGGACACATCATAAAAACATAAACATATCTGGTATGTTTATTTGTTTAGGGTTTTAACATTTTTTGAGTGTATTAAATCCATCATCTCATCGATCTTCACAACTACCAATACCATTAATTGGGGAAGATATTATCATACTTACATAACACACACACAAAAAAACAGAACCTCAGGACACAGTAAGCAGGAAGCCAAGAATAAAATTCAAGCCATCAAAATTCTAGTCAAATATTCTTTCAACAATACAACTCTTCTTTCCACTTTATGGGAAGTCAGAATATTTACCTGAAGTTCTAATCTCTTTCTACCAATAACTGGGTTTATGGCACTGTGTGGCACAGTGGTTAAAGCATTAGGGTGCTAATCAAAAGGTCAGTGGTTAAAATCCACTAGCTACTCTGAAGGAGAAAGATGAGGCAGCTTGCTTCCGTAAAGATTTACAGCCTTGGAAACCCTTTGGGGCAGTTCTACTCTGTTCTATAGGGTTACTAGGAGTGGTAATCAAATTGATGGCAGTGGGTTTGGTAGATAACGTCACCTCTCAGACAGAATTTCTTCTTTGTACAGTGACATGTCACTTTCTAACTTAAATTTTACGTGTTTCCTAAAAAAATGGTGCCTATAAATTTGTTGTTGTTGTTGTTCTGTGCCATCTACTCAGACCCAACTCACAGCGACTCCTCCTTGGGTTTCCGAGGCGGTATCACTATGGAAGTAGATTGTCCAACCTTCCTTCTGAGGAGTGGCTGCTGGTGGGTTTGAACTGCCAGCCTTCTGGTTAGCAGTCAAGTGCCTTAGGCACTATGCTACCAGATTTAGGTGTTTCAAATAAACTACTCCCACTTTAAAAACTGAGTTTGAAACATTAAGAATCATTGCCTTGATACAAAGTTTCTTCTCTCCAGAGAAGCACTATAGTGATTTTAAAGCACAATGGGAAAACATCTGAATGTACCAAAGATTTGAATGTAGCAAACTGCTTAACTTTTCTGTACTTCCTTTCCTCACCTATAAAACTTTTCTGTATTTCATTTCCTCACCTATAAGACAGGGATAACAAGTACCTACTTCATACAGTTGAGGTGAGGAGCAATGAGATAATATATACAAAGCACCTAAAACAGTACAGGCACATAGTAAGTGTGCTTTGTTATGATGGTGATGATAATACAGTGACAACTGTCTACTATCTATCAGAAAATGCACACAAACCTTAAATTCAATGGAGTATCATAAATAAAGATGAAAACCTTTAAAATATACTTCTGGCCAGCATATGTTCATGGGCTCCTCCAAAACAATTAAAATTCCAAGTGCAAATACAATGGATGAGAATGCATACTTTTTTTTTTTTTTTTTTTGGCTAGATGAAGCAAAACACGTTCCTCATTATCAAATGCTTAAAAATTATTACTAAGGCTAGCAGACTTCAGTTGTATCTTGTATTTGTCTTCATTTCTTTAGATATATCCTAAGCACCTAGTAAGAGAACATGGCATTGTGCTAGAATGTTTTAAAAAATGTATTCAAAATAATAGGTTTTAAATACATTTTGGAATCTGATTAAAAAGGCAATGTGAAAATGAAGCACAGAAATACTTTAATTTCTACCAATTCACACATTTTCATTCTGTGAGCTTTAATATCCTTATGACCCTAACATGGATCAACTTCTATCTATACCATTATATAAGACTAGCCTAATAATCCAGATTTTCTCTAAGGTTAACACTCAGTTTGCAATGAAATGTTAAAAATAACTTCATCTCACTCTACAGTCCCTGTATCAGTTATTCTGACAAGAATTCATATATCAAGAGTGCCCTCTAGTGCTAAGAAAAAGATTTTAATTTGATTCTTAATGGAACTGTATTCTTAACATTACTTCACATACTGACTACAAAAATTTCATTATTATTTACTGAAAAAAAAATAGAAACCAGATATAAACATTAATACATATGTAAATGTCAGCAGTAAGTTGTCAAATTTTCTTTGCCTGCTTTGAATTAAATTGTCATTCAAATATTCCATGAAAATTAGATTAAAATCTTTGTGTTTAAAAAAAGAAAGATAAACTATTCTTTAATGAAAATCTTACTCATGATGATTTAGAAAACTGCTGTTGTTGTTACATGCTGTCGAGTCGGACCCGACTCATAGCGACCCCTCCTTGGGTTTCCGAGGCAGTATCACTACGGAAGTAGATTGCCTCATCTTCCTTCTGAGGAGTGGCTGGTGGGTTTGAACCGCCAGCCTTCTGGTTAGCAGTCAAGTGCTTTAGGCACTACGCTACTACAGCTCCTAGAAATGTACTACATGTCAATAATATTGAATAATGTCGAAATACAAAAAGCCTCATATGACTCAAGTCTTAAAACAAAGACATGCAGTTAGTGTTTTAGTATGTGCTCCAAGGACTTACACTTGTCCTTTGCAAGTAGAAAAATTCAAATTAAACATTAAAAATATATGCTTTAATATTGTATTTACTTTTCCTAGTAATATAAACTAAAAAAGAGCTCTGGTGTCCTGGTGGGTAAGGCATTTGGCTGCTAACCGAAAAGTCATGTTCAAACCCATCACCAGCTGTTCCACGGGAAGAAGATGAGACGATCTACTTCCCTGTAGATTTACAGCCTTGGAAACCCAATGGGGGATACTATGAGTTGGAATCGACTGGAGACAAAATGTTTAGTTTTAGTACTATAAATTACATAATCACTCATAATGACTATCTACATCATACAGCTCTTTCCTTAAATTGTTTTCCATTATTCTTTTGTCAACTTCTAAAGATAGTCACTCTGACTGTCCCTGGGGCTTATGTCTCAAACAGGGCATATTTTTACATAAACATCAGTACAAAGGAAGTAGGAGCTCTGGTGGCACAGTGCCTAAGGCACCTGACTGCTAACCAGAAGGCTGGCGGTTCAAACCCACCAGCCACTCCTCGGAAGGAAGATTGGGCAACCTACTTCTGTAGTCATACAGCCTCGGAAACCCAAGGCGGGGTTGCTATGAGTTGGATCTGACTCCACAGGAGTGAGGTTTTATTTTTTTTTTTAAAACCAAGGAACTAGCAACAAGTAGGCAGGCACAGCTATATCAAGGAAACACCTAAGTAAAAAGAACCAAATTGTAAACTAACTTAGAACAGTTTGTGATTCAAAAGATTGGAAGGAAGAACATAAGGGAGAGGAAGGGAAAAAGGGAGACAAATAATTATACACATTTAAAACAGGGCACAACAATGTACATTATCAATTCAACAAGTACTTTACTGAGTACCAAGTAAAAGGCTAGCTAAGTAAGAACAGTGGAGTTGGTCCTTGACCTAAAACAACTGAAAACAGGGAAGTAATGCATCAATCACTGATTGTTGTTGTTGTTGTCATGGGCCGCAGAGTGGGATTTTGTTGTTGTTATGTGCCTTACAGTCAGACTGACACACAGCAACCTATCCTTGAGTTTCTGAGGCAGTATCACTACAGAAGTAGATTTCCCAAACTTCCTTCCAAGGAGTGGCTGGTGGGTTTGAACCACCAGCCTTCAGGTTAGCATTGATTAGTGTGAGGAAATCTGAAATGTGTAAATTTAGTTCCTTGCTTATGATCATAGAACTAGATTATGGAAATGCAGGCACAATCATTCAGTCTCCTAACTTCTCACTCTCCCAATGGTTTTCTTATAAGGGATTAAAATTAAAGCATAAACTCCTCACTAAATAATCCCGTATCATAGTACCAGTTATGTGCTCTTTTCTAAAATAATTTATTCTATCATCGGGAGGAATATTGTGCTAAAGACATTTAATAGTTTTAGAAAGCATACTTCAGAAAACTCAAGCAACTATAAGGAAATTAATAGTGGAATGCAATTAGTGCAATTTCTTTGGAAAACATTTCGGCAATACAGAATAGATAGGCTCATACACTTTGGCCCAAAATCTCAGTCCTAAAAATTCATCTTATTAAAGTTCTAAAAACAGGAAAAAAACTATACAGATAAAATTATTCAATCAAGTATTATTTACAATAGTAAAAACTGGAAACAACTTTAATGCCTTTATATTGTTGTTGTTGTTATGTGCTGTTGAGACGGCCCCGACTCATAGCAACCCCTCCTTGGGTTTCCAAGGCGGTATCACTAC